CAAAAAAAAAAAAAAAAAAAAAAGTGAACAAAATCCTAAAATATAAACAAGCTACTCTTAATCTAGCTTTACCTGCAGGATGCTGTCTGGAGGCATTTCATAATTCAGGAACCCGATCCCGTGCCAGTGCAGTTTTGCTTTATCACTTTTATAACTTTCTGAGGTCCCAGCTTCAATGATGGAGGCGCCTAAAGTTATCCGATAGTTTTTAAAATAAAAAAATTACAGAACTCAAAACACCTCATGTAGGTTTTAATAATGTTGTTGGAAAATGATTACTGGGCAAATTATAAATAAGATAAAATTCATGCTCGGGATTTGGTAGGAGAAGCCTGACTTTCAGTGTCTTCAGCTCTGCAGGCTATCACTTTGATGAAGCCATGTGTATTCTGTGTAGTTTCGCATTTCCGAAACTGGTATTATGACCAAATACTGAATTTGGAAGCAACTGGTTTAGAGATGGAAGCATTAGGTGCCTTGTGTTTATTACCCGGAGACACAGGGACCCCGTTTTTAACAACTCATGTGACAGGTGAGGCTTATGCCAGCCCAGGTCACTCAAAAACAAAAAGCGATTAAAACAATGTCATAGATGCACTAACAGGTTACATAAAGCTCATATTCATGAGCTTTAGCTTTAATCAGAGATACATAAAACCTACTCATCAACTGTTATCCCACCAGGTTACTTTGTTTCGGAAGCAAAATGTACTTCTGCACGTGATGCTACGCTAACCGCTGCCTCCAGGGGTCGCCGTGGAGCCCGCTGCTGGGCGCTGACCAAGGGGCTCGGCCGCTGCGCCGGGATTGGCACCAACCCCAGCAGCGGGCTACACGACCGTCTCTCTCCTTCACTGTCTGGGCTTGTTCACGCCGCTTGTCTCAAATTACCAGGGAGATAAAAGTGTTCCCCTAATAAATATAGAGAGATACACAGAGCGGGACACCCCGGGAGAAGTTTCACTTCCTTACGCACCCGCCGACTTCAGGGCATAATCGGCCATCTGCACTTGGTCTTCTCTCAGCTTCTTAAGCACATAATTTACCAAGTTGGACGTTTCCTGTACAGGTTTAAAAAATAGTCTCTGTTAACAATCCCTGCCAGCTGCTGAAGTGCTGACCATCCGCGTTGTGGGTTTGGACCCAAGTTCCCTACCCTGCAAAATACTAATAGGAGTGTTTACTTATTCGAGGCGCTGCGCACGGACTTCTGGCGTCACTTGCACAGCTGGGCAGGCTCGGCGTCTCTCGGGTAACTAAGCTGTTTCCCTCACCCCCCAAGGTCAAGAGCAAGGTCGGACCGAAGGCCCCTTCCGAGGCCCCAGTGACCGCCCGCCGTGGTCAGTGAGATGGTCAGATGACGTCGGTGTGGCCCGCTGGGTCCCCTCCTTCACTGGTGTCTCTGCTCGCTAATAGGAACTGGAACGTTCCGCGGGCATTTGGGAGTTAAGGTCGTTTGTGGAAAGTGCCTGGTTGCTCATGTTAGAAATTCATTAGTTCGAATTAGTGTGGGTTTCTTGAGGATGTTCTGATTGTACAATTTACTTGTCTCCTTTGATTTCTTTCCTGGCGAGGAAACCAGGGACAAGTGGGGCCGGGAGGCAGGGGGGGGCCGGTCAGAGTCCTGGGCCCTCAAAACACAGACGCCGGGGAAGCAGCTCATGCCCTGCCCAGCTGGTTTGACTCAGTGGCCGGTTAGAGTGTCAGCCCTCGGACTGGAGGGTCATGGGTTTGATTCCACGTCGAGGGCACGTACCTGGGCTGCAGGCTCGATCCACAGTCCCGGTCGGGGTTCCTCCGGGAGGCAACCAATCGATGTGCCTCTCGCACACCCATGTTTCTCTCTCTCTCCCCCGCTCCACTCTCTAAAAAACTCAATGGAAAAAATATCCTCAGGTGGGGATTAAAAAATAAAGGAAAGCAGCCGGTGCCGGCAGAGGGAGGAGAGAAGCAGAACCAGGCCACTCTCTTCACCACCCGGTGGCCTAACCTGGTGCAAGTTCCAGCCAACGCACCACCTTTAGGGCCGGAATAAAGGCATCCTGTGTGCGGACCTCAGAGCCTGCCATTTCCGACTGGCCTTTAGTTTGTGTGTTTGCGGGAAAATAAAGCAGGATTAGTTAGTTATTCGGGTGGGACGTGTGTCGTTTGCCACACAGTCTTCTCTCTGACGAGCCGTGATGAAGTGGCCCCGGGACCAGCTCAGGGACAGAAGCTGCAGTGAGGACTTGGGGGGGGGGCGGGGGCAGCCACATATCCATCAGCCCCGACGTCTCCTCTCAGGGGGGTGGTGCAAGGTGTCGCCGGAGGGGACTCCGCCCGTGTCCTCCCCAGCCCACTTCACCTTGTCGATGACCTCCGCGTGGTCCTGGGCCTCCGCGGGGTCCCCATCGGCCGTCCAGCTGTAATTGTGCAGACCGGCCTGCATGTCTCTGAGTAGCGCCTTCAGAACGTCGATTTGCTCCATTAAAAGCAGAATTTCACGCAGGCTGTTTTCCAAAGTCTGGCTTTCCTTCCTGTGAATGGAGACCCCGGTGTGAAAGGAGGGAGAGGCTGCTCCCGGCATCTGCTGGAGCTGGAGCTGGAGCTGGGCTTGGGCAGCGGAGGGCAGAAGAAATGAGCCTGAGACTGAGGGGAGCCCAGGGAGGGCGGCTGGTCAGGATGCTGCGTCTCAGCACTGCGCAAGGCAACGGCATCCGGGCGGCCTTCCCGGGGGCGTCCGAGGGCCTGGGAGGGGGCGGTGCTCAGAGAAGGCAAGTGGGGCTCAGCCGGCCTTGCAGTTTCTTGTCCCTCGGGGGCTCTGCCGCCCTGACCTGAGGCTGGGTGACACCCCCACTGTGACCCCTTCCAATCGTAGTGCCTGGCACCCGAGTGTGGAACGGGGCAGCCGATTTCAATCTGAGCCTGGGGGTCTGCAGACCAGCCCCGGGCAAGAGGTGGTGGGGCCCAGCTCAGGGGGAGGTTTGACTTTAGAAGACTAGGTTCTGCTGCCTTACAGCCTGAAAGTTACTGGTCACGTCAAGCCAATGGGTATTTCTTTCTCTAATCCTCCCCGAGGATATTTTTTCCATCGATTTTTAGAGAGAGTGGAAGGGAGAGGGGTGGAGAGAGAGAGAGAGAGAGAGAGAGGGAGATGGGACAGAGGCACATCGATTGGTTGCCTCCGACACGCACCCCAAAGCTCCGGCCCAGGTGCGTGCCCCTGACTGGGACTTGAACCAGGGCCGTTTGGTACCCGGGCTGACGCTCTAACCCTTGAGCCACACTGGCCAGGGCAATAGGTATTTCTTTATGTTGAAAAAAGGTAAGCCCTAATCTAGTATTTTTATTTTTTTTCACCACATGTTCACAGTTTGGAAAACACAAACTTTGAGGAAATGCACACTTTTACATTTTAGGGTGTTTATGACAGTTTTTATTCTATGCCAAAAAAAATATATATATAGTAAAATAGTATCAAAATAGAGATCATACTTATATTTTGTGTCCCACCACACTTCCCAAATTCTTAAGTCTATTTCAGAATAATTCGAATGGCTGCCTGATCCTCGGGCTGGGATGGGCTCTGGCCTATTCACCCACGAGCCGGTGTTTCTTACATAGGTCGTTCCCCCCGTTTGAATCATAACTAATATTCATAGCGCCTCCCATTGTATAACAAGTGTCTATAGAAGTACAAGTGTCTATAGAAGTGTTAAACAAGTGTCTATAGAAGTACAAGTGCGTGTAGTTCTATAACTTTACCAAACCGCGTCTGCGTTTGGGACCACGTCAGAAAGGCCCCGCGTCAGAGAATCTCACTCACTTGAAAAGTTTCACTTGCTCCGTTGGCATCCGAAGCCGGGCCTGGGGAAAAAAAAAAAAAATCGCCTTCAATCCTGCCTGTTCCTTCCCAAAACCCCCACAAGAGATCGCATTTTAAACCCTGTGAGTTCCAGGGGCATCCTCGGCGACATCGCGGTGCCGACCCCGGACGCGGTTAAGCCGGCTGCTCCCCGTAGGGTTTTGGCTGTAAACCAACAACGCGCTTCACGTGTTTTCAGCCAGTAGTTTGCCGTCATCCGCCTTAAGCTCCTCATTGTGACCATGATGATGTGGCTGCTGAGGCTGCACATTGTGTGACAATAAGGCTGCGTCCTCAGCATGAGCAGCAGACAGGTCGGACCGGCCGGCCAGGGCCAGGCTCTGAGCAGGGCGGGGTGGGTTTCAGCTCCGGGCTCCAGCTGTGCTCCTTTCGCACTCACAGCACCGCCCAGTCGCTCCGACCTCGCCCATGAGCGCATTTCGGGATACTCTCACTGAAGGACCACTTTGTGGGTGAGATGAGCGACGGATTAAATTTGCTTAAATTCCCTCTGGGGCATGGCTGTCATTGTCCCGGTGGCCATGGGAACATCTGGCTCTTGAAGAGCAGTATTGAGTCCCTACGACTCCTTATAAACGGTCACCTGAAAACTGAGACTATTCCTTGTTTACTTCTGTTTTTTAAAAATATGTTTTTACTGATTTCAGAGAGAGGAAGGGAGAGGGAGATGGAAACATCAATGATGAGAGAGAGTCATGGACCGGCTGCCTCCTGCACGCCCCCGACTGGGGTTCGAGCCCGAAACCTGGGCCTGTGCCCTGACCGGGAATCGAGCCCTGACCTCCTGGTTCATAGGCTGACGCTCAGCCGCTGAGCCACACTGGCTGGGCTCTCCCTCTTTTAGTAGTGGGTCCCAAATAAAATCCAGGTGGGTGAAAAGATGCAGCAACAGGGATGTTTATGTTTATAATATTGGAAAATTGCAAACAATTCAATTATATGGAAGTATTCATCGAATATATCATTTATCGCATTATTAGTCAGCCATGAAATGCTGTTATAAAGTAACATTTAAAGACAAGGGAATGTGTTTAAAATCCATCGTTAATAGGATGAAAACGAGGCATAAACAGCTCCTTTGCACATAGCGCGGGATCTAGGAAGAGTCCCATGGAAACAGCCCCCGTCAGTCTCAGGTGGTTGCTGACGGGGCGCAACCGAATCTGACCGGCGAGGTGCCCGTCCTGCTGGAAGCCCTGGCCTGGGGGAAGCCGCTGAACAGGGCTCTGGTCCCGCTTTACTTCTGTCAGATATTCACGTGCGCAACACGGAGAACGCTGCGCGTTACACTCACCGGGCGCACATTAAACCTCAGGGAGCGGCACACACAGAGATTTAACAGCTCGTCACCTGGTAATTGTACAGCCGGGAGCCATATTCTGCGATTGCAGCGTAAAATCGCTGGGGCTTCTGAGGAGATTCTCTTTCTTTCAGCCACGTGCGACTTCTAAACCCTGTCAAAGAAGAGAGCAAGCCTGATGACAGTTTACCTGGGCACAGTGATATTCTGCCTGCACAGAGACAGGCACGCTCTCAGAGAGCCTACCAGACCCTTGGGTGACAACACCAGGTGCTCAAAAAACCAGTCCTCCATCGAAGCAGCCAGTAGCCGGCCGAGGGGAACAGGGTCAGCCTTTTTTAGATTCTGGAATCTAATCCAAAATTCACAGGTAACGGAAGGCTGAAGGAAAGAGGAGATTTGCCCGGCTGGGGTGGCCGGTGGCTGAGTGTCACCCCATGAACCAGGAGGTCACGGTTCGGTTCCCGGTCGGGGTACATGCCTGGGTTTCGGGCTCGATCCCCAGCTGGGGGCGATCAGGAGGTAGCCAATCAATCAATGACTCTCTCATCATTGATGTTTCTATTTCTCTTTCCCTCTTCCTTCCTCTCTCTGAAATCGATAAATATATATTAAAAGAGCCAGTTCTTTTTGGTGAGCGGGCAGGGTGGCCTTTTGCTCACCCGCCTGCCACCTCCCGTGCCCCACGTGGTGGCAGTGGCCATGGGAGGGTGCAGCTGCTGGTGCCAGCGGCTAACACAGACCTGCCGTGACTGAGCTCTGAGTTGGCCAGTGTCCCCTGATCAGCGGGTGCAGAGGCCAACCGTGGTTCCCTCCCACCCCCTTGGGCCAGATGGTTTCTGGGAGGGAGGCTGCAACGTCTCTTGAAGGATTTCAAGTCATAAACTGGCTATGCCCACTGGGCAAGGGATGGTGGATGAGAGCGAGTGGCAGACACAGGAGTGGAGGAGAGAGTCTCTTGTGGGAATGAGGGCTTGGCAAGTGCAGGGAGTGCCCAGTGCGCATGCTCAGGAAAGATCCCCGGAGACCCTGGGCTTGCAGCCACAGCCAACGGCACCCTGAGAGCTGTGGGGCTATCGAATGGCATTTCCTGACAGTAACTGGGTTGAAGCCTTGGCTTTCATGGGCATTCTCTCTTCACGTTGCCCACATATCATAAAGAGCAATCTTCCAGTGCATGGGGGACGGGGGCGATGTGAGAGACAGGCACCCAGAAAACTGCTCATGGGATGCCCATGGCCATTTCATCCAGAATCCGGTGATCAGTGAGTCTTTGGGTGTCAAACCCCCCCAGGCTGAGTCACCTTGAGTTAGAAAAGGTGGACTGTATGTGTTTGCAATAAAAATTTTAAGCCTTAACTTCAAAACAACTTCTGTGTTTTTAATCCATGATTCTAAGAGGAAAAAAATGGCCTTCTAAGTTTTCAATAAAGAAGACTGTTATTTTTACAATCAGAAATAAAGGCCAAAAGAATAAAAATAAAAGAAATAGCTTCAGGAATGTGCAGTGACTTCCAGCGACTTCCATGACACATTAGGTCATCCCACTGTGGTCTTTCCTCACCACAGAGACATCCCTCGAAGTGGCTGTAAGGATCATGACTTGGTAAGACTTACCTACAAGAAGAAAAGTCAACATAAACACCACACTTAGGACAATTTTCCATGATGGAGTCAACCTGAAAGAGAATAAAAACCACAGAAGGAATTCGACAATACATCACCACGGACCTTTCATTTCAACCACTACCACCAAGTCAACAAGTGTGCCTATTCTAGGCTGAATTTGTGAATTAATTCCTAACCCATTATCTTTGAAACTGAGAGAAAATCGTTTTCAGGATGGTATCCGTAGGTCATTACAGCTGGGAGAGCCCCCCAGATTGTCTGAGTTAAATGAAAATTCCCACATTGCTATAGTCACCAAAGGTTCATTAAGTTTTGGATCAAGCCCGGTATCAGGCTGGGCTTTGCAAAGCAGCTCTGTGCCTGGCCCACCTGCGGGATTCTGCCTCCAGGGAGCTGCTTTGCTACTGTGGCCACCTGGTGACTGTCACACAGTTGCTATTGCGGGGGATGCTCCTCTTGGGCAATTGCTTTGTAGCTTTTCTAGTTCAACTACTTTGTAGCACTCCTTTTATTATGTAAGGGCCGTTTCTGACTGGTGCTTCACTGTTCCCAGTGGGATGGCTACTTTGTTCTTTACCTTGTTTGCTTCCCCAGCAGGCAGCACAGAGGGGGCAGGGAAAGGGGCCTTGGGTCCTTAGCCCACCCAGGTGCACAGGGCCTCCCTGCAACCAGTTCTAATGAGACAAACAACAGCTGTTGGCTCAAACTGTGTCCCCTTTAACACCGTGTGGTCAAGGCCCACCCAGGGATGTGGGAAACCCCCAGCCTGTAGTCCCTCTGCCACTGAGCACTGCAGACCTCGGAGACTGCGAGCGGTGAGGAAGGAGCATCTGTAAACTGTAAATTAGAGCCCTCCTCTCCCTGCTGCTGAGGTTCATTCTTGTATTTATTTTTCAATTACAGTCTACATTCAGTATTATTCTGTATTAGTTTCAGATGTACAGCAAAGTGGTTAGAAAATCATGTACTTTACAGAGTGGTCGCCCATTGCTTCAAGTACCCACCTAGCCCTATACCTATTTATCTCGATTAGGGACCATATTCCCTGTGCTGTGATCCACATCTCTGTGGCTATTCTGCAGCTACCAATTTGTACTGTTTAATTCCTTCACTTTTTCATGCAGCTCCCCACCCCCCCCAC